ATGATGAGTGTCCTGACGAGATGATGAGTGTCCTGACGACATGATGAGTGTCCTGACGAGATGATGAGTGTCCTGACGAGATGATCAGTGTCCTGACGATATGAGTGGAAGAAGGAGTGGCGCCGCTCCATTGCCCCTCCGTGGACGGCTCCAGCGACTTGGTCTATTTTTCTCATCAATAAATCCTAAAAAATTATTACTTGCTCTATTTTTTTATTCTTGTCCTGGCCGCTACATTGTTTCGTCCAACGCTTTCGATGAGATCGAATGATTAAGTCCTTATGGGAAGGTACATGAAATTGGCGGGAAATTGTTAACAAGTTTGTTTGACGTAAGAATATGGGATTTATTTACTTGCGTATAATACGCAGGTTTTTAGACGTAAAATATGCACGAATCTTTCAGTTCATATCGAAAGCATAAAAATGGAGAGCTTCAATAGCTGCTCTCCGGTTGATGGAGTTGAACTTTGCACTGATTTTTGTCGCCCTGTACTGCTGCTGCTTCTTCAGTGAAGAAACTTGCTCTCTTAAAATATCGATCGGCGGTGGAGATTAAAATGTTGGCTGTGGAAATTAATTTATCGGCGGTGGAGAATAAAATAGCGGCGGGGGAGATTAGGTTAAGATTAAAATAGCGGCGGGGGAAATAGCGGAGGTGTGGATTGGAATAATGGAGATCTCATAAAAAGGTGAAGCAAACTGGTCGTATGGTGATTAGAGTTGATTTTTTACATTGCTACTAGTCGCATGAAAAAGTCATTGTACGAGAATGTATTCAATGAGAGTCATTGCATGTCAATGGTGCGGCTTAAAAGACGTGGATTATTGAAGAAAATTATTCAACATGGAAGTCGAAAGTGAAATGCTGATGTGAAAATTAATAAAAATTATAGGGACTGTATCTGTGGTTGGAAGAAAAAGTTTCAGACAAGTCAAATTGTAACGCGTGGTGAGCTCTCGTTAAGGGGAGCGTCTACCCTAAAAATTATCTCGGCTATTTATAGTCGGATCACTCTGAAACTTGGTACAAATATGTAAAATAGGAAAAAACTCGCATTTTGTTCGTGTAAATTTTTCGAAAAAAATGAAAGAAAACGTGAAATTCTTAGAAAACGGCTATAAAAGGGGGTACTGTAGAAATGGATCTAGTCCTAGGATTTCCAAGCTACAACATCTGTCTCTTATACACATCTAGATGTGTATAAGAGACAGGTATAACGCCACCCGCAAGTGGAGGTATAACGCCACCCGCAAGTAGAGGTATAACGCCACCCGCAAGTGGAGGTATAACGCCACCCGCAAGTGGAGGTATAACGCCACCCGCAAGTGGAGGTATAACGCCACCCGCAAGTGGAGGTATAACGCCACCCGCAAGTGGAGGTATAACGCCACCCGCAAGTAGAGGTATAACGCCACCCGCAAGTGGAGGTATAACGCCACCCGCAAGTGGAGGTATAACGCCACCCGCAAGTGGAGTTATAAAGCCACCCGCAAGTGGAAGTATAACGACACCCGGAAGTGGAGGCATAACGAGATTCGGAAGTGGAGGTATAACGCCACCTGGAAGTGGAGGTATAACGCCACCCGGAAGTGGGGCATATCGATTACTTCCGGTGACAGAATACAAGTTTTGTTCACCATCACCGTGCGGGGCAGTGCGACACGGAAGTACGTGTGACCGGACTTAGTAGCTAAGCCAACAGAGCGTTGCCGGGACTGTGAGATGGCGATCGATGAGTTGAACTGCAGCGTCAACTGTCGTCGTGGTTCAGTGACGTGCCAGACCAGAGGGTCAGAGACTTGAAGTAGCGATCAGTGCTGCGTCCAGTGGTCGGGAGACTGGTAGTTGTAGAGGAATGTTGAGTTTTGGTTACAGCATTTAGGAAGTATTTACCCAAACATGAATGAAAATGTGATGAGAAAATGATATTAGTGGGGAGTGTCAAGAGTGACTGAAAGCAAATTATCGTGATTCTAACTCGGCGATTGCGATTCAAGATCACTACAAGTACTTGTAGTAATTTTAGTCCTTTCTACTGCTACTGTTACAAGTGATTCTTGTAGTTCTTTCTTCCACTACTACTACTACTGTCAACATTTTAAATTGCTTTAGAGGCAACTGAGATACTGATTGTTTCCGTAAGAAGTAAAAATATTCAGTATTTTTGAGGCTGAATCAGTGTCGAAGCTGTAGCGAGCCGAAAAAATTCAATTATGACTTTGACTCAAAAAAATAATGCAGTGCTTCATTCATCATTGATTTGGTCTGACGCGCAATTATATTCATGAAAAGATTTCATTATCAATCTCTAAAATATTTATCTATAAGTTATAAATGTTTTATTTAGGAGATTACTTACTCTAAGCTGCCTTCGGTCGAGCTCAAATTCTTTCATCAGCGATCAATCGTTTACGTTGATTATTTTAAGCCGCACATATGGTCACTGGCACATTTCAAATATTTAGAATTAATGTTATACCCTGAATATTATTAGTTTTCAATTGAAGTTTTTTTCAGTGAAAATCTTGAGATAAGCTACAAATAAGACATATACCAAGACTACTCAATAAGCCAATGAATAACTTCTCACCTGACCTTGTGTGTGATATTCGATTAAACGCAGCACGCAACACGTCTGGCCCATAGCAACCATATGACCAATGTTACGTGGCAACCAACATCTGCAGTAATTAAACTATATATTATATATATTTATTTAAACAGTATATTTAAATGCAGTAATTAAAATATAACATATGAGCAATGACGAGCAAGTTGATGAGAATTCATGCTAATTTATACACATCTTCATAACAACAAGTGTCAATACACTTGATGTAGTCACTGAACATTTGTCCCGCTGCCAGCTGTCTGCAACTGTCAGCCCTTTGATGTACTAATATATACTGAGCTATGATGTACTAATATATATTGCGCTATGATATACTAATATATATTGCGCTATGATATACGAGTACTAATATAAACATTAATGAGATATGATATACTTATATATATTGAACTTTAATATATTAAAATACATTAAACTGAGATACATTTTCCTTTAATAGTTTCCTATCATTCAAGACGCAAGTATCTGAATTTCCTAAACCTTTTCGATGATAATTACAATTTTCTCTAAATGTAACTGTTTCTTTACTGAATATAATATAACTTAAAGTGTTTACTACCCCAGGCTGCACCTGGAGCCGCGCGACGTGGAGCCGACGTGCCCCACGGTGCCTGAGAAGCGGTGCCGTGCATGGGGCCGCTCTGCCCTCCAGCGCCGGGACGGGGACTGGTGAGACGGGACGGGGACTGGTGAGACGGGACGGGGACTGGTGAGACGGGACGGGGACTGGTGAGACGGGACGGGGACTGGTGAGACGGGACGGGGACTGGTGAGACGATCAGTGACGCTAATCAGTGACGGCACTAGTAGATACTAGTGGAGGACTGCTACTTTATATCACAGGATGAAAGGCTTTATATTTTAACTCAGACATGTGCCCTGATCTGCATTGTCGCCACCATGATGCCGGTCATTACGCATGATGCTGGTCATTGTATACACATGAAGCTGGTCGCGATGACGACCGTACCAACGCAAGCTTGAGTCTAGAGCTCCATGATGAATTCTTAAAATGCGGGCCTTGCACCGCTGCCGTTGCAGCTGCCCGGCAGAGTCTGGAGGAAGGTACAGATATGCTACCATTATTGACCTGTCTTGCTACAGTTCTAGTGGTGTTCTCTTATTAGTGGCATCCGGTGTAGATGAATATTATTTGTGAATTGAATAATAATTCATGACTTACTTCCCGACGTACGAGATCGGGACTAAGCTTTTCTCGGCAGTCTGATATCGACACCGATTACGGTTTGTCTGTCTTCACAATACTGACATTAATCAGTGAATCCGACACTCATTGAACTTCAGTGAACGATGCCAAGCAGTTTCATGGATATACACTCAATTATTTTTGTTAAGTGAACCGTCCACTCCTTCGATCCGCAATGCCGCGAGACATATATGAAGGACAGGAGGGTAAGTTATTATATTTTTGTTTTCAGCATGTCAAGCAATTCAACTTGCTCGTTCAGCGTCATCAAGGTTCAGGCTAGCCAGCCAATCACAAGCCTGGGTTTTGAATGATGTGAGCGTTCGCAATAATATTATCAATGTTTAATAATTTCTGGTCATATTCGATCACAGGCTATGGCAGTTGGGATCTCTGGACAAATTCTTCGACTACCTCGACAACCCCCACGGCCACTGCCTGCATAAATCACTTGTTGGGGGACGCATCGAGGTGGGTGGAAGCCAAGTGTTCTGGCAGGAGACTCTTTCTTGACCAACCCAGGTAGACTCTTTTTAGAGTTGAAATTTATTATACGAGTAAGTTTTCCAGGCGTTTCCAGGGATATGTAATCCTTGCAAGTTGAGAATACTTTCGTTCCCCAACCAAATCAAGTTAACCACTCTATTATATTATTATACAGCTCGCACACGTTAAGTTCTCGTCTTCTTGAAATTGTAAACCGATATTTTCTCATGTTCCGTTGTCGTTTTCTCGTTACCTACTTCTCATATCTTTCTTGTATATTTATATTTTCAAATTTATTGCACTTCTATTCTATAAAATTCTCTGAACTGACAATGGAACTGGTTTCCGTTTTTACCGTCGATGGATGAAATTATTTGAAGTTTTCTTTGCGTTCAAATTTTTTGCGAGTTTTTAATTTAAGCTGACGGACATTGTGATACTAATTGTATAAAATTTATTACTTGCGCAGTGTCAATAAAACATCCGATAGTTTAAATTGAGTCCTAGTAAATGAGCTTTGAAGAATAACTTTTCTATCCCTAAACCAATCGGATAGAATAGGATTCTCGGCACCTGCGTTGGATAGGGTTGCCATATTGATTGTTTAATTTGCAAAAATCCGTTTCCTTTAGTTTACGTCATACCATGAAAGCAATTAGTTTCGATGTTACATCGGAGTAGGTAATGAAAAGTATTAAACTCTTGTCAACAAAAATTATATCTTTTCGTTGTCTAGGAAAAGCAGAAAAAAATCTACATGGATGGACAGAAGGTGGTCTGCACCGACCCTCCCTTCATCATGAAGCCAGATTCCTGCAAGGTTTTCTCTTTCGGCATCCGAATGACGCACTACGAGTTCGAGTTGACGATGGCAGATTTTGGCTGTAAAGTCTTCATCTTTGATCCCGAAGCTGATCGTAAAACTGTGGAAGAAATGCATCCAAATTTCAAAATGCAACTCCTTCGCATTGGCGATGACCGGAGGGAGCGCCGGGGCAGCAGCAGCATCCACGAGTGGCGTAGGATGTCGTCCATCATAGACAGCGAACTCAGATCCAACAAATCGTACTCTATCGACTACCTCAAGCTTGACGTCCAAGGCGACGAGCTTAATTTCCTAGAAGAAATTATCACAAAAAGAACGCGAATTTTGATAAGGTTCAAACAAATTAGCATTAAAATTAATATAGGAGTGATAGGGACGCCATCTTGGGCAGACGTTGACCGCTACCACAGATATTTCGTGTCTTTGGAGCGACGGGGCTACAGATTGTTTAGTTCTACGGCGGACCCCGTACAGCATGTGAGGTTCATCTTACCCGAGGAGAACAGGATCGCCAACACCCACTACGATCTAGTGTGGGGCAAGTGTGAAGAATGACAACAACAATATCACTTTAAAAATGAACAATAACCTTAGTGATGAATGACCTTAACAATATATTGCGATCTTGTGTGAAGCAAGTGTTAGGAATGACTTAAACAATATATTGTGATCTTATGTGAGACAAGTGTAACAAATGAGTTAAACAATATATTGCACTCTTGAGTGGATAATTGTGAGGAGGCAAGTGTGAACGAAATCTTTCTGTAGATCAATACGTCCAAGGCAATGTATCTTCAATACACCCTTAGCGTATTAACCCTTTGACATCTGACCGATGTACCGTACCTTCAAGCATTTTGATATGACTAGTATTGACAATGGATATTTAATCCGGAATCAAAGAGTCGGTGTCCGAGGGCAACACATGATACCTGCAGGGAGAAGCCCTATGTTGGTTCCTCCCCGTATTTCGAGCCGATCGAGTAACGTATCAGTTTAAATTCATAGTTCTTATTTCTGTGTTTAAGCTCACGAAATTATCTTTTGGCCAAGTTCTGATTTGCAAGAAGACTGTTTTAACTACCTAAAAATGTTCTGTCTGCAATGAGTTAGCTTCTATGTATTCGCTGTGGGTTAGAGCAGCAGAATTATTATACTGCTAGCTTGTTTGCGCAATCCATCAAAGGCGTATGTACCAACAAACCAATCCATCAACGGCTTATGTACCAATAACCACCCAATCCAGCAAAGGCTTATGTACCAACAAACCAACCCATCGACGACTTATGTACCAATTCATCAACGGCTTCTGTACCAACCGACCTATCCATCAACGGCTTATGTACAAACCAACCAATCTATCAACGGCTTATGTACCAACCAACCAATCCATCAACGGCTTATGTACCAACCAACCAATCCATCAACGGCTTTTGTACCAACCAACCAATACATCAACGGCTTATGTACCAACCAACCAATACATCAACGGCTTATGTACCAACCAACCAATACATCAACGGCTTATGTACTGACCAACCATGCAATAATCACCGCACCGGCCAACACAATCTACCGGAGTGAAGAACATCAAAGAGGACTCGATATCAGTCGCAGCATTTTTTTAGGTCCACAGAGACAAATAGATCAGATTCGACAACAAAAGCAGCAGCTGTTGACATTGCACGAATAACATGTTGCATAGCAACAAATGCAACAGCTGTTGAGCCTGAAACCCCTGACTTGCAGTGCTGCAGCAACTAGAAGAACGCATGGAAAGAAATGGTCTGGTATCATGATAGCCAACATAGAGGGACTTTTCTCAAGAAAAAACGCCACAAGAACAGCGTACCTAAAGAAATTTCTGAGACAAAAGGCATAATCATGCTTGCCTTAACCGAGTTAAACCTGAGAGAGGATATCCAAGATGGATAAATCGAGATGAAAGGCTTTCAACATTACCGAGCAGACCGAAAAGAAGGGAGGAGAAAAAGGAGGCGTTATAGTCTACCTCAGAAACTCCCTCGCAACAAAAACAGTTCCCCTGCATATAGGCTCCAATGGATATGTGGAACATGTTATACTATACATCTCCAATCTCCAACTGTGCATAGCTATCGTATACCGGCCGCCTGACTGCCCGCCCGAAAAATTCAATGAAACTCTCGAGATAATAGAAACCGAGGTGGCCAACCTTGGTGAACCTTCCCCAAATATTGTGGTTGCGGGAGATTCTAACCTACCATACATGCTATTGCTACCCTTTGACTGTTTAGGACGGCGCTGAGATCAGCCAGAAACTATAGGCAACACAACTACTTCGATTCGCTTGGGAGCACTTGCTAAGTAAGTCAACGGTGCTGGCGCCAACTAGAGTCTAGAGAACACAATATCCTGGATAGGTGCTCCACCAGCTAAGAAGAACTGGTTGCTGATATTCGTGTTGAGGAGACCGCACCTTCAGACCATCGACTAGTGGTGGTCGAGAACCCACCTAAAAATCGCCAATGGAGTAAAATACTAATTTAGATACAAAGTGGCGGTATTTAGGTATATAGAGTGATGGTTAGGGCGGTGGTGGCAATTATTTACATTCGTTCGAGGTGATCAACTGTGTTATATACGCGGCACTTCACTTGAGTATTTTCATCAACAAACTCATACCGAAACCCCAATACGGCTGTAAAGCCCTAGTGGCTTAGGCGAAATTTCGACATAGACGTTTCAAGGAGTTTTATTGAATAATCTTGAAAACAGTTTCTTCAAGTATGTCATCAGAAATATTAGTTATCTAATGCATAATATAAACAAATATAAGCAAAATTAAATCCAAGTTAACAAAAAAATATCAAATCAGAATCGATAATGAAAGACTAATAAATTGTAGCACTAAACTCACCGAAGTAGTTCGCCACTAAAGGAGGATTGAACTACGAATGACAATTTATCTCGAGCTAAACTTCGGTCGGATGACTGAAGGTCTAAACAGAAAGATTATGTGGAGCGTACATGTGAAAAATTGCGATTACAACGGCAGTGAGCATAACTTAAACCAAAAACCTAAGCATTTACACCCAACACACATTACAGTCTGGCAGTTAAATCTGAGAGCGCAGCCTAAAACTATTCGTCATACGAGCCAAACTCTGATATTTCACATGAATCTATTACAGATTTCATGCCAGTGAGTCAATTTCACAGTCACGATTCAGTATTAAAAAAATTTCCAAAGAAACTTTACCTTACTTTAGCTCCTAAACGTCAAATCCTTAGAAGCCAGGGCGGCGAATTATAGCCTCGCGGCGTAGAAAACTTCGAACTTGTGGATGACGGAAGAACTTCCCGGCCAGTCGTCAAGCAACACTTGGGCGCGTAGTGCACAGTGCACACATCTTGATGGTAAAGGCATCACACGATCTGAAAAAAGGTTGATTCTGTTGAAAATTGTGTGCTCTTTAAAGTTTAAATCGTATTTCTAAAGGTAAAAAGATATCTTTCAAGTCTGTAATAATACGCGGTAACGGGAAAATATATTAGAACTTAACTTAACTGAACAACTGAATTAAAAAAAAGTCATTAATATCAAAGCTTTATTATATTATTCGTATTATTGCTCTATCTATTTTGGTTTTTTGCTTGATGAAAGCGCCTCGCTGCTGGCGCTGGGGGCAGTGAACGCCTCGCTGCTGGCGCTGGGGGCAGTGAACGCCTCGCTGCTGGCGCTGGGGGCAGTGAACGCCGCGCTGCTGACGCTGGGGGCAGTGAACGCCTCGCTGCTGACGCTGGGGGCAGAGAATGCCGCGCTGCTGACGCTGGGGGCAGTGAACGCCTCGCTGCTGACGCTGGGGGCAGAGAATGCCGCGCTGCTGACGATGGGGGCAGTGAACGCCTCGCTGCTGGCGCTGGGGGCAGTGAACACAGCGCTGCTTCTTCCGCTGGGGGCAGTGAACGCCGCGCTGCTGACGATGGGGGCAGTGAACGCCTCGCTGCTGACGATGGGGGCAGTGAACGCCTCGCTGCTGACGATGGGGGCAGTGAACGCCTCGCTGCTGGCGCTGGGGGCAGTGAACGCCGCGCTGCTGACGCTGGGGGCAGTGAACGCAGCGCTGCTGACACCGGAGGCAGTGAACGCCGCGCTGCCAGAGGCCTACTTGATACAAACCTACGCGGGGAAGACGTCCGTCGTGGTAAAAAATGTACAGATCTCCGAGGACGATTCATACGACCTCGCCCAAGCACCATCTGCGTGTGAGACAACAGTTCATCATTAGTAATTCATATATAGTCATTTTAACTCCATCGAGTCATTTGATTGAATTCACCTGATTGATTGAATCCCTTGATTGATGTAAATTCTGGTTATCAGTCATTAGGTTTTTATAACAACATTGTGATTAACCGGATGATTGATAATGTTAAGATTATTTCATATCACTTATTTCATTATTTGGACAAGCAGTCACTTTTTTCATGTATCATTCACAGTATGCAAAATTTAAGAAATTTTACATATTTTCTCAACGACCTCTCAATTTATTTCCTTAATGCTTTTTATCGATACTCTCATCTCAAATAGTTTTTTAATAGATTCCAAAGATAGCTAAAATCTTGTGAGAGGATATTTGTATTTTATCAAGCTGGATGCACATCGGGTACAAAGTATTTTATTTATAATGCAATGCAACAAAATCCTCAAGATTAAATTTATACATATAAGTTAAATGTTATTGAAACTTTTTAGTTTGGTCATTTTTTACGGGTACGTTCTAGATAGTGTTTTCAATTATAAAGTAAATAACATGCTGAGAAATGCTTTACAATTATCCTAGATCTGTACTGCATTGACGAAAATTGAACAACGTAGCATTTTATATTCTGTAAAAAATGTGATGGCGTAATAGCGTTAAAAAGTTAGTACGCAAGGAATGAAAAGAATGACTTTCGGTAAAATTCTTTACCAACATCTATAACTTATATTAGTATTAGAGCACAGCAGGCATCTGGCATCAAATAATGTCGATTGAGGGTGGATTTCTGGTTGCGACGTTGATAAACCTAAATTAACTATCAAAGTAAGTTTGAAAAGTGACAAGCACTTGATACGAAGAAATTTAACTTGAATTCAACATGGACTCGACTTCGATTTTCGATTAATGTTAGTAATTATTATTAATTATCGTCCGGCCAGCCTGGTATTTCATTATATTTTTATTTTATTATAAGTAACTAGATAATATCGTTGCTCTAAATCCAGTCCCATTTTACAGCCATCCTATATAAGGGTAACAACATCCAAACTAAAGTACCTAGAATGAAGCGAGACCGGTTCAAGCCTGCATTTAGCAAGGAATTTCCATTCAAACCTGTTTATTACCTAGAAAAATTAGATAATTTTTTTCAAATTGAACCCTTACCTATTTAAGAAGAATATTTTGATAATAGATCTAACTCTCCCATCTATTTATCAGAGACTTAGAACTCCAACTTTAAAAATAAAATACTGAGGTAAAATCCCAACAATTAAGATTAGCATAGTGGATGCACGACAAGTCCCGACAAATGTCCAGTATCAGGCTTCAAAAAACACACAATAAAACGAACTTTAACAAATATTAATAGGATTATATAATTTGAAGTTAACTTCATCAAAATTATAACTCGGATATTAGAAATACTTTTATTAGCGTATCATCATCAAGAGTAATGTTCCTAATTAAAAAGCAATTATACATCAAGTGCTCGCACCAACGAAATATGTTATTAGGAAATTACCTCTTTTTTTCCATGTTGGTAACTTAGTTCAACGACATTGAAGAGTTGAACAAAGACAACACAGCAAAATTTAGGTTAATAAGTACATTCAAGTACCTTGACCATTGTTCCGTCATACTTAATGTTAATCTATCAGAGTAGCGAAAATTTTCTCTTGTTCAATAACAGTATTTTATCGGCCTTATCTGTCGTTAATTTACGAATTTTTACCTAAACCTTCCTTCTCCTTATTCTACATGACCTGAAGATATATCCTATAGCCTCTGAGCTAAGTAAAAATATTAATATTCCATATAATATCAAGGAATGTAAACTTTTAAATAAGTATGGTACATATTTTGTGTTATCTTAAAAATTACTAAAAATAAAATATTGTTATTTTTAATCAGAATTTTGTTTTAAGCTAAATCAGAAATCTTTCGGCTCAAGTTTTTTTTTCACGAAAATTCACGATTCGTTAAAGGCTCAGGGATGTTATCCTTTTTGTTGCCAGATGTGGCCATGATATTACCGTTGATATGATTACGGTCAAGTTAGACTGTCAGCAATTAAAATAAGATGAACCTCGACCAATTAAGTACAAAAAAAATGAAAGAAATGAATGAAAAATATATTTGGAAATAAAATCATCGAAACGTTCGCATTTATACTTATTTAAAAATATGTGTTGAGAAGTAGGCCTACTATAAACCACTCAAAATAAATCGATTAAAAAAAACCATCCTTAAAATCGATCAATTCGCACTTCCAAAAATCTTGTCACAAATTGGACACTTGTTCGCCACGGTACCGCGTGGCTGCCGTTCTACGTCAACGTCCTCTTATCATACTTGAATAGAAACTTTCTATCTTTGTTAGAATATTATCGCACATATTAATTGGATCTCTCAGACTCAACAAAATTTCATTACCATTTATGAACAATTTATTTTTTGGGAGCGGCAGTAAAAATGTACAGATATACTCCACTCAGCCATGACCATAACTAAATATTTCTCACAAATTTTTCTATTGCCTTCAATTAATGCACATGACGTCAATATACTTCTCGAGATACAATTTGTACAATTATTTCCGTACATTATTTTTTTCCAACTCAAGTATGTGGACCTAATGCGATCCTTTGTGCGTGACAAAAACTAATTATAAGTCTAGCGAGGTTCATATCAGAAATGCATCATTAATTATATCAACTCCGTTTGCTCACAATTTGAATAAATACCTAAGTATATATAAAGTATAACTAAAAATACCTACGTATATATAACTAATACCTAAGTATATATAAAAGTATATAAAAAATATAACTCAGTACTCACTGCAGTGAGTGACAGAGAGCGCATTTTCTCGTCGGCGAAAACATGAAGTCACGGACGGACATACAGGC